ATGTATTACAAAAATCGCGCGTGCGGACGGTTATCTTGAACGGACGCTCATTCCGTATTTAAAAGTGATAAAGAGCTAAACATGGTATCAAATTGTTCGGAAAAATATGAGAAATATTCTGTCAAAAGTTTTTGCTGAGGAATTATTTTTCGTTCCGCCGTGACGAACGAAAATGTGCAAAAATGCGTGTTTTGCGCAATTTTTTAGAAATGCTTATAATAGCATGAAACGGATGCAAAAAAAATTTAAGACGATTTTGAGCAATTTATAATTTTACGCGCGCATTAACGCGCGCACCTACACATATGCGCATATTTGCGCGCATTTATTGACCTAAAATTGACCCGACAAAAATTGACCTTGATCATGACAAATATGAATGAGAAATGGCTTTCTGTTATGAAGATATGATAAGTTGATTTTCACAAAATGGCGTCTGGAAGACGTCACGATAACTTTGAGTCTTTGAAAAGGCACCCAGGTCTAAGTTAGGGCGCGTTCATGCTTGATTTTGACGGCCAGAATCAGGCATCTGTTACGCGTTTAGTTTAAAACACGGTTGCGTCTTAGCTCACTTTTGTAGAATCACCGAAAAACGGCGATCACGATCGCCGATCGTAAACTCACAAAAAGATGCGTTTACAATTTGTAAACGCGTTTAAATGGGGTCAACGCACTGACCTCTAGTGGGTCTACGTAGCATGCACAGTGAAGGTTTGCGAATCCAGCTGGAAGACCAATTAAGGCCACACACTGAGAATTGCCTGGGGGAGCCAGAGAAGTAAGCATGAACACTACATCGTGGAACTGCGATCACGATGAGCGTTTACGATGAGCGTTTCAGATCGCTCATTCTGCCTTCAAAATTTAAGCATGAACGCAGCCTTAGACTAAGATCTATCATTGTTGAAAAATTCATGACAATGGCGCTATTCAGTCTTGAGATATCCTGCGAACAAATTCGAGGAAGAATAATAAAAAAAAAGAAAAAAGAAATCAATAGGTGATACATAGACTTTGAACGTATCACCCAACTAAAGGAAATGGAATTTTTGTTATTTTTTGAATAAATTTAGCTCTACGGTATGAAGCAAACCAAATCAAAATTGGTTGAATTATGAAGGAGAAGAAGCATTTTTTGTGATTTTTAAACTATTTTTGGAATAAATTTGCATAAATTACCATAATTAATTAATGGAGAACAATTTCAAAATTCTGTGTAGAAGTTTAGTGAACCAAAGTAAGCTCTACGAAATAAAGCAAACCAAATCAAAATCGGTCGAAATATGAAGGAGAAGAAGCATTTTTTGTGATTTTTAAATTATGTTTGGAATAAATTTGCATAAATTACCATAATTAATTAATGGAGAACAATTTCAAATTCTATGTAGAAGTTTAGTGTACCAAAGTTAGCTCTACCAGATAAAACAAACCAAATCAAAATCGGTCGAGAAATGAAGGAGAAGAAGTATTTTTTGTGATTTTGAATAAATTTGCATAAATTAGCATAGATAATGACTTTCACGATTCTGTGTAGAAGTTTTAAATCCCCCTCCTAGCCCTAACATATGAAACAATCAGAATCAAAATCGGTTGAAAAATAACGAAGAAGAAGCATTTTGAAAACTGTGGACGCCAGGACGGTACGACGGACGGACGGACGACGGACGCCACGGCATGGCATTAGCTCATGAGGCCCTTCAGGCCGGATGAGCTAAAAATAAACTAGAATTTAATTTGTCACAAGGACGATAAGGTGGTCTGTCTTCAAGTCTTATGATAGATTATAATATTTACTATATTGAAAAAGGGAGAAGTTATATAGACATGTAAACAATGATGATCATGATGATGATCTTGATAGCAATGGTGATGACGATGATGATGACCATGATGATGTTGATGATCATCATCAACAGACCATGATGACATCTGATTGAAAAAAATGAGGGGACATTTAGATAGCATATAGTCTCAGCTACAACATACTCCAAAATCAACAAAAACCAAGGGGAAATAACGGCGATATTGCTCGCAAAAGACAGGAATGTAGAATCCAGGTTTGAGAAAAAGTCATCTCCCATAGGGACTACACGCAAAAATTTGGATCAAGTGATAATAGGGTAATAACTAGAATTTAATTCGTCACAAGGACGAATAAGGTGGTCTGTCTTCAAGTCTTATGATTTTTGATCACTCGTTATCGAGATATGATAATGACCTGATTTTTACAAAATGGCGCCTGGATGACGTCACGATGACCTAATGACCTTGAAAAAGTTGATTAGACTTGACATTATAGGGCCTGATGACTGACAGAAATTCAAAGGAAATTGACGTTGTCGATTTCGAGTAAACGTGTGCACAAAAAAGTGTACGGAAGAAATAAAAATTAAACTAGATTTGTAATACTTGTTTGGAACACAAGATATTACTTGTGAAAGACGGTAGAATCCAGTTTTGAGAAAAAATCATGTCCCATAGAGAATACACGCAAAAAGTGAAAAATTGACATGCCTCTTTTAATCGCAAAAATATGCCATGATTCTTTTGTCAAAATGAAGAATAATGGACACTGCATTTGTGGAAAATTGTCTCAGCTAGAACATATCAAAATTTGGAAAAAAATCAATCAAATTATCACAGAGATACAATCAATTTTTATAAAAATATGCTTACGTCATAATATGCAAATTGAAATTTCGAGTTCGGAGGCCATTATGACGACGTCATGAGTTAATTAAGGTCAATTGAGAGATGAAATCATATTTTCGATTCATACTCTATCAAAATATGAAAAAAAATTGGGGTCGCCTTACATCCTAAAGGCCTATAACAGATTTTGTATACCCGGTAGGCATGTTTTAGCCCATATATGCTATGTATTACAAGAGCTCGCGCGCACGGAAATTTATGTTAAACGGACGCTCATTCCGTTATTAACAGTCATAAAGAGAAAAACATGATATCAATTTGTTTGTAAAAATATGTGAAACATCATGAAAGAAAAAAAAAATAGCGATTCTACATTTTGTAATGTTGTTACGCGCAAAAACGCGCACGCATGTGCGTGTGCGCGATTTTTTTATAAAATGCTTAAAATGACCTAAAACGTATGCGAAATAAATTTGAGACGATTTTGAGCATTTAAAATTTTTGCGCGCGGACGTACGCGCACACGCGCGTTTTTTGACCTGAAATTAACTGGACTGATATTGACCTTGATCATGATAAATATGAATGAGAAATACCTTTTGGTTATGAAGATATGATCATGAGTTGATTTTCAGAAAATTTCACAAAATGGTGCTTAGATGACGTCATCAGTCAAGGTCAAGGTCAAGGTCAAAAATTCTGTGTTTTGTTCTAATGCCTATACATATGTGTGCCAAATTTCAAGGTATTTGATTGAGCCATTTCCAAGTTATCTTGTCTACAAAATAGTGGTTAGAAATAAGAAAAATAAAGAATAAATAAAGGCAATTCTAACGAAATTATAAGGTGGTCTGTACGATATACAGCCCACCTGATAAATAATAATAAAGGCAATTTTAACAAAATTATAAGGTGGTCTGTATTAGATACAGCCCACCTAATAAAGGCAATTTTAACGAAATTATAAGGTGGTCTGTACGATATACAGCCCACCTGATAAAGAATGAAGAATAAATAAAGAAAGAAAATTCTAACGAAATCAATAGGTGATCTGTCGTTGACAGACCACCTAATTAGCGTGTTTTAAATTAAATGCGCGTTAATATAATTGTGCCCAGGTTAAATTGACAAGTTCAAACTTCTCCAATACCATGATAAACCATATGCCAGCTGATCTTTAAGTCAAACGTTGACCGTACACTGGAATTTTTCGACATTGGTGTCAAATCAGTACGGATCGTAAAGAAGGGATATAAAACAAATATACCAAGCATTTAGTTTGTAAGAATAGTGGAAATTATATATCTTCGGAGGGACTGGCAATAGTTACCAGTTTTTCCTCAGGGCTTTGCCCCTCATAATAAAAAGTATATGCCAGTCCCTCCTCAGATCAATAATTTCCACTATTCTTTCTCACAGCTTCGTATATTTTTATAATATCTATGAAATGGTTCCGGCGCACCTCGTCCCAGGAATGTTTTTAAACACAAAATGGAAGTATAATTTACACTGTACCTATTATGGATTCCGTCCAGGAAGATCTACAGTTGCGAAGACTTGTGTAAGGTATTAAAGCAAAGCATCTCACAGCAGTGCTTACGTTTGCGGATTTAAAAAGGCCTTTGATTCAATCAATAGGAAGAAGATGTTAGAGATCTTAAGAGTCTACGGAATACCACACATATACAGCAGTAGGGGTGATGTACAAAAGATACCACATCTCAAGTACATTCACCAGATGGAGAGACTGACTCCTTTACCATCTTAGCAGGACTACTTCAAGGAGATACCTTAGCACCATACCTATTCAATATAGCATTGGATTATGCTCCAAGGATAGCTACTGAAGGGTTTGAGGATCTAGGCATTCACCCTACAAGAAAGGAAAAGTAACAGATATCCTGCTGTAATGATCACATATACCGACTTTGCTGATGATATTGCACTAATTTCAGACAATCTGGAAAAAAAGGCACAGAAGCTCCTAGAACAAGTAGAGTCTGCAGCAAGCCAAGTCGGTCTACAATTAAACACTACTAAGACACAATTCATGACGTACAACCTTCATGAAGGCGAGATTTGTACTGCTGACAGGACAAAGTTGAAGCAGGTCCAAAACTTTCGGTACCTTGGGTTGGCTCGTGGGTTGATCAGTCAAAACAAGATCTGAATATCCATAAGGCGAAAGCCTGGACGGCTTTGAACAAGCTGACAGCCATTTGGAAATCAAACCTTGGTAGAAAACTGAAAGTCCGCTGCTTTAGGGCTTCAGTGGAAACTGTACTGCTCTATGGATCAGAAGCCTGGACATTGACGAGTAGCCTTGAAAAACAACTGGATGGTTGCTATACAAGACTCTTGAGAGCAGCACTAAATGTCAACTGGAGGGACCATATGACCAATATAGAATTGTATTGGGACATTACACCGATCTCAGCCAGACTGAGAGACCCCCGCCTCCGTCTCAGTGGGCACTGCTGGAGGAGCAAGAGTGAAATCATTTGACAAATGCTCTTTTGGGAGCCCTCAAGGGGCAAACGCACCAGAGGGCGCCCAGCAATTACTTACATTGACCAGTACGAAAAAGACACCTGTCTACCAAGGCAGGAGCTCCCAAAGATCATGGAGAATAGAACTGAATGGAAAAAGCTTGTCAAATCAGTGCGAGTACGCTCGATTAGTAGTAATAGTACCTTAATCTAAAATTTTACTGATAACGACGAATTGTAATCGTTAGTATTCTGTTTAAATAATAATATATATTTACCACCATTGTAGAAGATTGTGTATGCATTAACTTGTAGAAGTCACGATCCAACGTTGTACAATAGAACTCTAATCTTGACAATGAGTTCAATGTGAATAGGACGTCTGCTAGGTCACGTGATACAGTCGGGCTGCATGATCTGTCTCTGAATACTAAAGTCTCCTGAAATAGACATAAACATGTTATAATTACTATACAATTCTTATTACACACTGTTTTAGATACACATACTTTTATAAATATTTGTCCTATATTCAATAATATACAAGTATTGATTGCTTTGAGGGACATGGTTATAACTATTGCACAAGGATATATAGTCCAGAATCTGGCCGTTTTTTAAATAATTATAAGTCTATATTCCCTACACTTGCTTCAAGCCGCCGAAGATGGCGCTTCCAACGAAATCGTACGCCCAGCCATATGCCCCAGCCTAAGATTTTTTCACCGGCCACCCTAATTTAATGATCACGCCATCTTCGGCTGGCAGTGAGTAAGTAGGAGGCGGTCACATTGGGTTGGTGTGGTGGCCGTGGAGATCAAAATTTAATCGGCCAGATTCTGGACTAAAAGTGATCTCGAAAAAAATATGGTGCTCACGCAGGGGCGTCTCCAAAGGGGGGGGGGGGGGGGGGGGGGGAAGGGGTGTGGGGGTGCGACACCTCCCCCCCCCCCCCCACTTGTCAGGATATTGTCAGTAAAATTGCGCTGCCGTCGGGAAAAAGAGAAAAGGGAAAAAAAAAAAAAGGGGCATGAAAGAGAGGAGAGAGAGGGGAGGTAAGAGTCTGAGGAGGAGTGGGAGTAAAAGAGAGAGGGGTTGTTGGGAGTCGTCTCATCGATGGAGCAAGAAAGACACGGGTAAATATGTTGCTGTGTCGGTGTTTTACTCTATCCTCGTGTACTATATCAATGCAGAAGTTTGAAGTCGGTGAGATGTATATTGTCGGTTGGCCGACAAGTTTTTTTCCCTACGAACTGTGACTTTTTATCCGCTGTAACGACTTCGAGAATGACTACAATTACAATACTTGTATTTTCTCGAAGTTTCACTTTCCTATAATATCAGCTTAAGAAATCAGAGGTTTAAAATTTTTGGGGAAACTGAATTCGAACAAGGATTCAGAGTCAACAACGGTACAACGAATCGTCTCCCTTTCTCTATATTTTGATAAAACGCCAAAATTCAGCGCTTCGCGCGGAAGGGGAAACTTCATTTAGACGAGTCGAGAACGGGACAACGAAACGTCATCTTTCTCTAATAATTAAAGGAAACGTCTAAGCTTCCGCGATTCGCGCGGGAGGGGGGGACTGAATTCAGATAAGGATTAAGAGTCGAGAACAGTACAACGAATCGTTGCTTTCTCTCATAATTTAAGGAAACGTCAAAGCTTCCGCGTGGAGGGAAACTGAATTCAGACAAATTAGGGTTAAGAGTCTCGAACGGTACAACGACTCGTCTGCTTTCTCTAACAATTTAAGGAAACGTCGAAGCTTCCGCGCTTCGCGCGGGAGGAAGGAAACTGAATTTAGACAAATTAGGGTTAAGAGTCGCGAATGGTACAACAAATCATCTTCTTCCTCTAATAATTTAAGGAAATGTCGAAGCTTCTGCGCTTCGTCGCAAGGGAGATACTGAATTCAGATAATTAGGGCTCATTAAGAGTCGAAAAAGTACAATGAATCGTCTTCTTTCTCTAATAATTTAAGGAAACGTTGAAGCTTCCGTGCTTCGCGCGGGAGGAGGGAAACTGAATTTAGACAAATTAGGGTTAAGAGTCGTGAACGGTACAACGAATCATCTTCTTCCTCTAATAATTTAAGGAAACGTCAAAGCTTCCGCGCAGAGGGAAACTGAATTCAGACAAATTAGGGTTTAGAGTCGCGAACGGTGCAACGACTCGTCTGCTTTCTCTAATAATTTAAGGAAACGTCAAAGCTTCCGTGCTTCATGCGAGAGGGGGAAACTCTATTCAGATAAATAGGGCTTAATAAGAGTCTAAAACGGCGCAACTAATTGTCTTCTTTTTATGATAATTAAATCAAACATCTAAGCTTTTCGTGCTTTGCACGGGAAGGGGGAAACTGAATTTAGACAAGGATTAAGAGTTGAAAACGGTACAACGAATCGTCTGCTTTCTCTAATAATTTAAGGAAGCGTCAAAGCTTCCGCACTTCGCGCGAGAAGGGGAAACTGAATTCAGATAAATAGCGGAATAATAAGAGTCCAAAACAGTGCAACGAATTGTCTTCTTTCTATTATAATTAAATCAAAGTTCTAAGCTTTTCGCGCTTTGCGCGGGAAGGGGGAAACTGAATTCAGACAAGGATTAATAGAGTCGAAAACTGTACAGCAAATCGTGTGCTTTCTCTAATAATTTAAGGAAATGTCAAAGCTTCCGCGCTTCGCGCTAAAGGGGGAAACTGAATTCAGACAATTAGGGCTTATTAAGAGTTGAAAATGGTACAACGAATACGGTCTTCTTTCTCTAATAATTTAATGAAACGTCAAAACTTGGGGAAACTTTATTCAGACAAGGATTGAGAGTCGAGAACAATACACCGAATCGTCTGCTTTTTCTTATAATTTAATGGAACGTCAAAGCTTCCGTACTTTGCGCGGGAGGGGAAGAAACTTAATTCAGACAAGGGTTAAGAGTCGAGCACGGTTTAACGAATCGTCTACATTCTCTAATAATTTAATGAAACGCCAAGACTTCCGTGCTTCGCGTGGGAGGGGGGGAAACTTTATTCAGTCAAGAATTAACAGTCAAGAATGGTTCAAAATATTGTCTTCTTTTCCTAATAATTTAAAGAAACGTCAAAGCTTCCGCGCATCACGCGGGAGGCCTATCACCCACCCCCCTAATGAGTGCGCTCTGCGCGCTCTTTAAGTGATTAGCTTGCTCACTACCGCCCCTCCCTAAAATAAGATCCTAGCTCCGCGCCTGCATTAAAATGTATAGCTATGATGCCGACTAAGTTGATGAACTAATTCGTATATTTATGTCGTCGAGGAAAATGACCATTTGCGCATACGCAAGTACTTTAGATAGTCAATAGGAAAAACAATTTAGCCTTCGGCCCCGGGGTTATAGGGTTAAATTTGTAGATATTTAGACATTTAATTTTGTTGGTAATTGGTGGCTAGTTTTGTTGGTAATCGTTGGCCTCTACACCCCCCTCCCCCCTCCCCCCTCCCCCCCACTGAAATAGGCATGACCCCCCCAAATGCAGTATTTGTTTTAAATACCGCTAGGGCGATCCCGGGGGGAGGGGGAGGCACATCCCCCAGAAAATTTGAAAAAGTGCAAACAAAAAATGTATGGCAAATAGTGACTAAAGACTGCAACACACTTTTAGGCTCTGGAGGGCCCAAGAGAGCAGCTTTGAGACTATTAAAAATGCAAAAATCTTCTAGCTCGGTCGCTATATTTTAAAAAAAAAATAGGTATTCTGTTAGTATCATTGTGATACGAACGGAATACATATTTTCCCTCGCATTTCTCCCCCCCCCCCCCCTGGACATGACAAGAAATCGCTGCCCCTGTAGGCCTATATCACATCCCTCGTGTCAATTCTCAAAAAAGGGATACACGCATTTCAACAAAATAGGCATATCAAAGTGTAATTATTTGTAAGGAAATTTACATCCGTCTCTGACTGCGCATATTCATTGACTTTTGTTGTAAACACAATATTTGTCTGTGTTTTAATGCCCAGCGGACGGTAGTGAATTTCAAGCCTGCAATTTAGACCAATCAGAGACTTAAAATCTTTGTATGCGGAATATAAATAAAACTGTAACAAACCATTCCATGCTGTTCCATGATGAATAAATAACCAGAAATTGTGTGAGCAGGCATGCCTTTATCGATAGTCAGTTTTCTCTCGTTTGCATATATCCGTTGACCTACTACTTTCGCTGTGTCTTTGTTATACGCTTCAAAAGTGACATCTACAAGAAAATTAAAATTTCTTTTATGTTGCTGAAGAAAGTCATCTGTTATCAGACTGGTACTATAAAAATGACTCGTACTTCTGTCTACATCCTTTGATATTTGCATGACAATATCCAGACCAATCTTCTTTCCCATGGCAGCGGTGAAATACAAGAGGTAACGGAATTCTTGTGGGTTAGGCTTCAATACTTTACCCATTGTTGTACTGTACCTACTGCGATTCGTGTCATATATAGAGGCAAGATAAACAGACGCAACATATTCTTGAAATAATTTGTGAGGAAAGAACACGCTAGTGGTTATAGGCTGTGAAGCAGTCATAGTTCTTTTCCATCTAGATACATTTTGATTTTCTCGACTTAGAACTCCGATTCTGCAACATGTTTCCATGGCTTCCTTACACGTGCTGAAGTCCTCCTCATTAAAAACTAATTTCTTTTTCAGGAGTCCTGAGAAGGCAATCGATCCAATTCTTTGCAAACAAAGCTTGATATTTTCCATTTCCTTGTCCAGATGGGCTACATGTAACACTTTGGTGACCTTTGACACATGATGGTCTCCAAGAAACATGATCATTTTATCAAATAACTGAAAAAATGTCTTCAGTTTGCGTATTTGTTCTCGATTATCACTGTCACAATTTTCCCATAAGATGCATAGCATTGCTACGAAAATTGGGAAGGGAGCCATGTTCTCTTTGATTACATCATTCGCTTCAATAAACCGAATCAGCTCAGATCCCGCCTTTTTATCGTCCACAAAGTACTTGCTGATGTATGTCGAGACATTTTTATCATCAAATCCTTCTACTGTTATGAAAGCATAAGACCTACTCAATACGATATTGGATTTGATCTGATCCGCCCTCCACGGTCTTGTTGTTACCAGAACTATGCATTGCTTGAATTTCTCTAATCGCAGAATCTGAGAAATATCTGAGCTTTCTTTGGCAGAGAGTTCTTCATCATACTCATCGAGTCCATCAAGTACAATCAGAACCTTTGTGGGTTGAGATAATATGTAATTATCGATCTGTTTAGGGCTTACAATGTTATTTTCGGAGAGATAGTCTTTCATAATATCACCAATGGTCTGACCCTTGTCAACCTCGCGCAGGGGTATAACAAGAACCCAACTGAAGCGCCGAAACTCAGGAGATCCTTTGATCCAATCCCATGCGATCTTAGAACAGAAGGTCGTTTTACCAACACCGCCTTCACCTTCAATCAGAAAACGTTTAGGAAGTACTCCATTGACCGTTGTAGTAAGGAGAGCAGAATAGTCCAATTTGGTTTTAGTCATACCTCTCCTTTGCAATACTAAGTTGGTGTAGATTTGTTCGAATTCCCTCAAAGATTGGAAATCAAACGGATCCGGTTTGATTTTGCATAGATGTTCGCGATAGAAAGTCTTTAAGTCTTCACTACATTGGATAACCTCATCCTCTGACATGTCTACGACTGGCTGGGGTGTATCCCGTCTGTCTTTAGCCCCTGTATGAAATACAGAGAAATTATATCAACAGACCATATAGTGAGATATGGAGTAGAATGTTTAAGAGATAAATACCTGTTGGGAAGTAAGAGGGAAGCTCATCATGGAAATTAAATTGGACAAAAATGAGGATCCAATGTTTGGTCCGGGCTTCATTTTGTCAAAGATATCAGGTTAGGGTTAAAATTGCTATTAGATTAGATTTCGAGTTGGGACTGTTTGTTCTGGGGACAAAGTAAAGAATTTGTATACACTTGAAAGATTTCATTGGACTACCATTCACACTACTAGAAAAACATAAAAGTTTGATCATACCAATATTTTGATGAGTAGTGCGCATATACCACTCATCGGTGCCCTGCATGCGTTAGCACAAAAGCGAGGAGAGTCACATGAACAAAAATGTCTTATTAGTAGCCATATAATGTATGTTCATAAGGAAGCTGAACCTGCCACTAAAATAACAAAGTTTGCGCTTGCTCTTTTCATTCGGTCACAAATAAAAAGCAAAGGACAGTTTATATAATAATAATAATAATAAATAATATTTAATTTTTATATAGTTCTTAATACAAATGTCTCTAAGCGCTTTATAGAAGAACTAAGGCCAGATAGGCTGTTCCAGTTGTTCGTAAAAATGAATGTTATAGGTTGGATGGGTGGAATTTCAAGGAATGAACTAAAAATCCAACCCAGATATCCACCTATGAATGACGCATATCATGCACACGCACACATGCATATACTCACCATCATATGACCGGAGACAAATTAAACTTTAACCATGTCTCTATCCTAACTGTAGTTATGAAGCTATTCACACCTTCCCCACAAGTAACCCAACCAATTTTTGAACAGGTTTTTGAACAATCTAGATTTCATGAACAAATTTTGAAACGTTAGATATGTTAATTGTCAACGTATGGTTTTAGTAATGTACATGCATGCTTTGATGTTTTGGGAAATGTTGGCCTCACTCCTGGCCCTTTAATATTTGACTTGACATCTAATTTTTTTCAAATATAATTGATATCATTAGATTTCTTAGTTCCATACTGCTTCTAAAATAGAACAGCATTTCACACTGTAACTATTTGCGGGACTTGATCATGTATACTCACCCTGAGTTGGGGTGTCTTGTGTCGCGTATCCACCTATAAGTTAAAATGAGACAACTCCATTTAAATTGAATGCTCTTTAAAATAAATACGTAATTGTTGATCAATATTTACAGGAAATATGCTGAAATCATAATTACAAATGAACAGCTCATAAGTTTTAACTTGACGAAGAGGGAGTACCTGTTTTCACAAAATTCTTTTGGACAAATGTAAAAAAGAAAATCTACTACTAAGCATGACAATTAATTGTGCCCCTTCCCATGGTCCCAACAGTACACTAATTAATGCCTGTGTGAATGTGTTTAAATTTCCCCAAAAAAGAGTTTGATGGTAATCTGTCCATCGTTCTAATGATAATGCGACCACAAGCTACTTTTGCATACATAATGAGACCCATGACCTGTGACCTTTGACCTCATGACCCCAAAATCTAATCATTTAATTGGCTTTGCAAGATACATACATGACCTAAGTTTTGCGGAAATCCATCGATCGCTTTTTGAGATAACGCGATCACGAGAGTAGTACGTACAGACGGACGTTCGGATGGATGGACAACCCGAAAACATAATGCCTCCAGGTACTTCTTTGCAGAGGCACAAAGAATTTTATCAAATGTTCATCTTGACAGTTTCCTCACCTTCACCTAGTTTTGTTGCCAGCGCATCTAAATTTACACTCTTGAGTTTTTCAGCTAGAAGTCTCTTGTAATTACTGCCATCCCTCTGCTTGACTCCCCAGCTGCAGATAACTTCAGACAGTGCATTGGACACATCTAAGAGGTTTTTTGTTAAAATCACTTGACTTTGTGCGTGAGAGAAATCTAGAGCATTACACAAGTCGTAGTAGTGTACCGGAGAAACGTCTTTTACCAATGACAGCACCTCTCTCTCCAAATCCAAGCTCCACCCAGCTCTAACAGAAAAATTGATGAGAAAGAAAGGATAGGTCACACTTCCTACTGCATGAGCAAAATAGGATCAGTTTGGTGCTATATGGCTATGATTGTATCGCATACCATTTCTTCTCTCAGAAGAAAATTAATAAACTAAATCATACATCAAAATAATAAAGTACCGAAGTGCAAACGTCATATTCGCTCGTCGTCCAGGTTACTGGTTGTAAAAAACATAGCTGTGCATGAGGTTTACCGCAAATCATTTAAGCAACGCGCTGGAGCAGGGCAAATTCAATGTTTGGAGCTGGTGTGATCACCACACCATTATATAGTACAACATTGTTTGGAACCAGAAAGCAACCTTGACAATTTGGCCAGTATATGACATCACACTTCGGTATTCTATAAAGGAGTTCACGTTGAATAAATCAATTGCATTTGGACGGAGTGATAGTTTGCTTTAATTATTGTCTTTTAATATATATTTATGTAAATCGGTTGGAGCGGTGAGACACCAAAGTATATGCCTCATTTTCACTTCAATGCAACAGATATCATTTGGGTTAGTTTGTTGGAGGGTCCATGTTAATCATTGTGGGAGGGTCCATGGTAATATATTCAATGTATTTGGCTATTGGTCTAGTTAAATATATCTAGAATTATCGAAGAACAGAACAAAATAAAATTTAAAGAAGAAACAAATGATATGAAGTACATCATATAAAGTTTCAATTATCATTTAAAATAGGCCGAGTGTCACATTACGTTCATGTTTAGCCCCCCTTAATCTACTTCACTGAAATATCAGCAACAGATTACGCCTATGTTCCAAAACATGCTACATCCGCAAAGCAAAGTTCTGAGAAAAGCAAGTTTTTTAATACTCCTATTTTGCCTTTTAAATTTGAAATTTATATATATATATATTACGTATTGGGACAACACAATCACTCCCTAAATAAACCCAGGTGTCAGTCTTTTTCTTGTAATTAATCGACTTCTTTTAAAACTCTGAGAATGGATTAGCTCCTGGAGCAGACCATTGTGTAATGAATGTATCAAGTTCTGGAACCATACTGAAGTGGATGTAGCATGTTTTGGAACTTAAAGGTACTATGTTCCATTCACAGGCCAACAAAAATGAAAAGATTTAATTACAACAGCATTTGAAAGACAACACTAATTTAGAACATCCTTTAAAACAAAAGGGCTTGAAAATGGCTTTTAGTGGGAAAATAACGACCATTAGTTGTCAAATCGACTTAAGTGATTGCTTCTTCTTCTTCTTCTTGATTTGATTTTGTTTGGCAATTAGTCACAGTTGACTATTTTTGCCACACACTATTTTATGAATTATATATATATATATATATATATATATATATATATATACATATGTACAATTTCATGTCATAAATGACTATTTTTAGGATTCTTTCTCTTTCCATCTCCTTTCCTTCCTCTTATTTTCTTTTTAGACCCTATACCTTTTTTTTCTTTTTTTTTTAGAGAAAATTCAATAAATTACTAATTTTGGAAAGAGACGACGGCCTAGCAAGTTGTATGTACTTGTGTTTACGCGCACATGCGCATTTAATTATCACCTCTGTATGCACATGTGTACTTCGCACTCACCCCCACCCTTTTCAAAATGCCATCTAAGTAATAGTCTGATTTTCAGACCCTTTTACCGAATGGTCGTATGTTTTGTGTTGCACAACGATTCAATCACGTTAATTTTGGCCATTACAAGTAGTGGGTTATTAATGAAGACAAATGCTCATTTTATGTATGTTATTACCAAAGAAGAAAAAAAGCCAGTCAGTCTATCAATAGTGTCTGACAGTGAAGTCTAACAAGTAATCAGGTTTCCTTGCATATTTTGAATATTAGGACACTGCTAACATTTAAATATCACAGAAAGGACATACATGACACATTCATAGTTCTTGCAAAGTTCTTCAGAATTTGATGTTGGCTGCAAAAGGGACATAGTATCTTTAACATGCTAGAAACAGACCAGAAGTGTTTATTTACATTTTCGTATAAAATTCAACCTTTTGAATGTATGCGGGTCTACTAAAAAGAATAGTACATAATTTATATTGCAAAAAATAGTAAATTTTGATAAAAGTGGGTGTAGAGTTTGTTGAAAGTGAACATTCATATGTCAATTTAGCTGAAGAAATATTAGAGACTTACGCTTCACGAGGGCCTGGGTTGAGCTCTACATCACCAGATTTCAAGAGGAGCAGTTCGGAGAGAGGAGGAATCTGTCCACAGATCAAATCTGTCTTTGACTTCAAGGACAGTCCATGACAAGATGATGCAGATTCTCTCATCTGTTTCTATAACAAAAAGAGAGACAAGACAGTGAAATAATTTATAAATGAGCATATTTCACTTCATCAGCACATTATCTAACGAGGAAATGCTTGTTATTCCCTAATCAAAAGAATATATTTATTTGTTTGTGTATAATTCTTCCATTTCATTCATCACTAAAGCTATGGTCACAACTCAGAGGGGCGGCCGCCCGATTTGTAGCCTGCTCAGTCGCCGCTGGAATTTAAGCATCGCCCAACGATTTTTGGAGAAGTTGAGCGGGCTGTAGAGCCCATGTGATGCCCGGGCGGTGGCCGATGATGACCCACTGATTTTTTACCTAATCGCTGGACGGCTAACGCTCAATTAGATCAGTGCGTGGGCAGCGACCGTATTTCTGGCGGCGAGTGAAAATTGAGCAGACGCCACCCAAATTTTAACTCCGCGCTAAATCTCAGCGGCGACTGAGCGATGCCCTAAAAAACAAGAGGGGCCTGGGCAAAATGACCATAGCTTAATCACTCTAGGACAAGGGTCATAATATCTTTTGAGACAGTCATTCCACATTTTGTGGTGTGACTCGATATCCTTTGACCCAGTACCTAAATATTATGCCAGATGCATGTCTGAAAAAAGGAAAAAATTATAAACACACGTACTGTGTCCACCTTGCATGACCAAACTAGGCGTTGTGGCGTGCGCCTGTAACTCAGCTAACAGTGGAAGTTACAAACTGATTCAGCCGAGGACGCAGGTTCAAAACTGAGTCACGTCTTTTGGATGGTGACGTTTGAAGGTCGGTCCCCAGACGTAAATAATCATTTCTGATTTATACACGTCTGTAAAAACCCAATACACACACACACACACACGTTTGAAAAGTTTTTTTTAAAGGAAAATAATTATTCAAATAATCAAATTGGCAACATGTTAGAGGTTCAAAATCGCTATTTTTCTATCAAATATTGCCGGTTTCCAACTTCCAGACAAAGTACTTTTGAATGTATATTGTTTTGAGAAACATAGAATTATATCAAAACAATGTAGCAATGAAAGAATAATATTTTTCTTGCGAAGTTGCAGAACAACATGCTTCTCAGTGAAGCGCTCCATTTCCAGTTTTTACTTTTAACTTGCACACATTCTCTTTTGTAATCTAATTAATGATTTTCAAAATGCATTATATTAATGTATATTGACTTCTTGTTATAATTGTTTATATTGCTTGTTCTATTGGAAATGAAAATAAAACTAAAACTGAAACTAATTGAGCCCTTGAAAAATTCTTGTCCTGCAAGGATTGAAACCCTCAAACCTTAAGTACAAAATCTTTGAATAAGGTGCCCTTTCTGCGAAAATGTGTTTTGTTGATGGCATCAACCTGATGCTCCTCTCTTTCTTGCTTACATTTTTTTCCTTCACATTATTATTCGTAATTTTACAATTACTTAACCCACTGACTACTGATATTTTTTCATTTCCATAGGCTTTAATATAGGAGCCATCTGGATCCAGTAAACAATGAATTAACAAAAAGGGATGATTGAAATAGTATGTATACCCACCTCTCCATATCTGTCGCAGATGCAGTTTTTACTTGAGACGAATGGAACCACAGGACTGCGTTTGACTGCCATGAGAATACTGGTTTCAGTCTGTGACTTCTTGCAGCTCCCTGATGATGTACATGTACGATGCTTCTTGAGGAGTTCATCATCAGTTGCTTCCTTGGTGATAGTATCAGGTTGAGGATGTTGCTCTTTGCCCACGAAATGAGGTAGTTCGCCACTCTCTTCAGAAAATGGCTCATTTTGTCTGTCAGGTTCATGGCAACAAAGGTCAATTGAAGGAACATCTTTGCTTGCATACACAGTTGGTTTTAGGAGCTCCACCAGGAAATCATCACATGGTGCAAATGGTTGGCAAACTGTGGTTCGTGAACCTTGTGACAATAGCTCTTTCACAGAGCCATCTGATTGGGTTTCATGGTCTTTGATGTAAGAAGTCTGTATGAGTAGATCAGTGTTTGAATAATCAGTTGGAGTCCGAAGGCCTTTCGTTGACGGATAGGATGTAAGTAGCTCCCTCAAGGAAGCGTCTGACAAACTATGACGCGGTGAAATTGAAAAATCAGACATCTGCTGTTCTTCCAAATCACCAACTTGGCGATCCTGTTCTATGCTTTCATCATCTGATGTACATGTTTTGACATAATCATAATCTTGTGCAAGCTGCTCTTCAATGTAGTCATCGTCCGGCATTATTAGCCATTTAATGTTGGTCTCATTAGGAGTTAGTAGACTGTTAACTTTTGAATCATTTGATGTGATGAGATCCTTGACATTATAATATTCTGACGTGATTAGACCAATGATGCTAGAATCATTTGGTGTAATGAGATCTTTGATACTGGAAGCATTTGGGATATCAAGCGGTTTAGTGCTATCATTCTTGGATACGATTACCTCTTTTATACTACAGTATTTAGGTGTAATTGGATCCCTGATACTGGAATAATTTGTCTTGAGTAGCTCTTGGATTCTAGAATCATCATTTGACTTGACTAGATCTTGAATTCTAGAGGCATCATTTGCCCCGACCAGAATTTGAATTTCTGAATCATTTGTCGTAAGTAGCTCTTTGATACCAGAATCGTTTGCTGTGATTACATCTTTGATAGTCGAACCATTCAACGTGTTTGGACTTTTGATGCTACAGTCATTTGGGGTAATGAGTTCTTTGATGCTACAGTCATTTGGGGTAATGAGTTCTTTGATGCTACAACAAGAAGGAGTGAGTATCTCCTTGATATGAGAATCTCTTGCTGTTAATAAATCTTGTATGCACAGATCACATAAAGATAGTAAATCCTTGATATCTGATGAGTTTCCTGAAGACCGAGTGTTCGCAGTTTTATGAGGACATCCCTTGGGATCAGAGCCATCTTGTCTGCTGTTGTCATCTTCGGAATCCTCTCCAGAATCACCCATTTTCGCTTCAAGTCTCTCGCAAAGAACCTTCAGCCTTCGAATCCTTTCCAAACTCTCTCTCCTTGGTGTCAGCAATTGTTTAATACATGTATCAGAAGGGGTGAGTATCTCCTTGATATGAGAATCACTTGCTGTTAATAATTCCTGTATGCACTGATCACATGAAGTTAATAAGTCCTTGATATCTGATGAGTTTCCTGACGACCGAATGTTCGCAGTTTTATGAGGACATCCCTTGGAATCAGGGCCATCTTGTCTGCTTTTGTCATCTTCGGACTCCTCTCCAGAATCACCCATTTTCTCTTCAAGTCTCTTGCAAAGAACCTTCAGTCTTCGAATCCTTTCTTTAAGCAATCTTTCTCTCCTCTCCTTAACCTCATACTCCCTAATCCAATGGACGAATGTTCCGATTCGGACCCTCCACTCACTTAGTGATACAGGCATCTTGGCAAATCAATTGACTCAGTCAGTCATAGGAACAAGCCACGATCTGGAAGAAAATAATAGTGGGGGGCATATATTAAGTATTGAAAAATAGCATTGGTAATGTCCACACTTACATGTATACATGTACATGCAGTAACATATTTTTATAGAAAAATGCCAACTGAAAGTGCAATTAAATAACAAGAATAAGAGAATATTCAATCTAAATAACCCACATAGTTTTATTCTTAAAACTATCTAGTATGTTTTATTCTGCATAAGTAATGACTGTAAATAGTAGTAGTAGTAGTAGTATTTATAGTAGAAGTAACTAGTTAGTAGTTGTTGTAGTAGTAGTAGTAGTTAATTTTGCCATGCTCGCACTGCTGTTTGGATGGTGGATACTGAGGGCCTTCCCCAAGCCCCCTGGAGGGCATATACCCCATTTGAACAACTCTAGATCTCCCTGTCTTGTAGGTGATTCCTAATAATTTTGTTTAGAATCCAGCCATGGGTTTTCAAGAAAAAGTAAACATGGAATTATTGCCACTGAGGAAGAGGATACGTAGTATACTATTTGACCAACCTGAGATCTCCCTTGCCTAAGGATGATTCCTTCCAAGTTTGGTGAAAGTCTGGCCATGCATTTTTTTTTAGATGAAGTCAAATATGTTAACCAGAGGGGGGGGTGGGGAAAAGGTGGGGAAGGGGTGGGGAAGGGGTGCTACTCTCAGTAGGGGGCTCACAATAAGGGACCTAACTCCCATCCCCTTGGCACCAGCGACATAACATTTATTGAAACAGTAGAGCAATTTAAGAGTGCTGCTCCCAGGTACCCTTCAGGAGCATGTATGAAGGTGGGTCTTCTTCATATGAAAATGAATCCTACGATGTGGCCAGAATCCATTCCAACATTTTGGTATAAGTCAAATCTACACTTCAAGATCTATCAGAATATGAAATAAAAAATGAGGGTAAACAGGCATTTTGAAGAGATATCCTTCATTAAAATGAGACAATTTCTGCCACTTTTTGACAATTTTCAAGATTTGTGCATGCACTTATTTTTTGCTTGCATTGCTGTTTGCATGATGGATATTTAAGGCTGCTCCCAAGCCTAGCTCTTGGGGGCACATGTACACCCCATTTGACTAACTTTAGATATCCCTTTCCTGCAGGTAATTCCTACAAAATTTTGGATGGAATCCAGCAATGTGTTTCAAGAAGATATAGAAAATGTGCAATTACTTCCAATGAGGACCTTTCGGAAGGGCTGCGCTGCCCCCAGGCCCCCCTTAAAGGTATTTACCCCAGTTTAATAAAGAATCTTAGATCTCCCTTGCCGAAGGATGATTCCCATCAATTTTGGTTGAAATCTGGCCAAACATTTCTTTTTCTGAAGTCAAAAATGTAAACCAGTGGGCATTTTTATTCATTGATTGATTGATTGATTGATATTTGTGTTTTTTGTTTTTTGTTTTTTGTTGGGGGGGGGGGGGGTTGGATGCTTCTCCCAAACCCGCTTGGGGGCATATAACCTATTTGAACAACTTCTCTAGTGCCCAAGGAGAATACCTACCAAGTTTCATCAAATTCTAGCCATGCATTTTCAGAAGAACTTGAAATTGTAAAAGTTTATAGATGCAAAACGCGATCACAATAGCTTCCTTAAAAATTTGACTCAGGTAAGCTGAAAATTGGATTATCTCCCTGAGGCAATACTATCACCATGTTTGAAGCACCTACCTAAAGATGTTCTTTATTTTCGTATACTTACCCCTTAACTTGGTTCTAGGACAATACCTCCTAGACTACCGTTCCCCGGCCCAATTACTGGCCCCCCCCCCCCCCTGGAAAGTTACCCCTGGGAATTCCCCCCTGAAAATTTCCACCTTAATACAATTACCCCCCCCCCCAAGACAAATTCCAACTTCTTATAATAATTATCACGGAGGACTTCCCCTATAATGAACAGGGGGGGTATTTTTCGGGGGGGGGGGGGGGGGGGAAGAGGTAATTATCTAAGGGGCTCGAATTTGTAATTTCAGAAGTTCATAATTATGTATGACCTACGTACATATTGTCACCAAGTTTGAAGATCATACCTTGAGTGGTTCTTGAGATATCGTAATAACAAGTATATTACAGAGATTGGCCCCTAGGCCCTATGACCTGCCCCAGAAACTTTAACCAGGTTGTTTTCCTATCATAATACACACTGTCACAAAGTTTGAAATTGGTACCTCAAGTGGATCTCAATAATTATCAAGGCTATATATATGTACCTATAATTTAAGAAATAACTTCTATGACCTAGCTTTGACTTTGACCTATATGCCCCAGAATCTACCAGATTGTTCCTACGTTATAGTTTATACTGTCATCAAGTTTGAAGTTCTTGAGATATTGTGATAAAGATAAAAACCTGTTTCAGAGATTGACCCCTGTGACCTTGGACCTACATATCCCACAAAAATCCAAAAAAATTGTCTTCCTATGGCTAATTAACTCCATGCAGGGAGTCTATACATGCATGTATATGGTGATACACAAACATAAATACAACACATAATGCATCTGGCACCACCTTCTGTGGGTGAAGGTATAAAAGAATCCCTTAACCCTTACTGTACTGGGGGGGGGGGGCCTGGGAGGCCCCCCTCGACATTTTTGGAGATTGCGCCGCAACCGCTTGGAATTTTGAATTGTCGTTTCACGACTTTTTTCCCTCGAGTCTTACGCACATTTTGATACCATTTTCGTCGAAATCGGATATACCTGTAAGGTGTTACATAACAATTAGTATGCGCATGTCATCAAAAATATGCTATAATTGCATATATTCATGTACAAGCAGAAATGTGAGTAGTATGAATTGATATCAAATTGCTTTTAGGCCATGTAAAATTGATTACATGTTGATCGTCCGGATTTTTTGAAAAAGAGGAGGAGGGTGTACCATGTTATTTGATATTTGATATTTTTCCCAAGATGGCTGCCGCGTGTACAAATAGTGTATAATTGAATATGTACATCAACCAACGTTGCTGTAGTGAGTTTGATTTGCCCTAAAATATCAATTTTGGCTTTCTTCAACAGGTTTCTTTTTGTATATTTTTAAATATTAAATGTTGCCTTTATTTTAAATATGTAATTTGTAAATATATTGTCATTTTTGTTTTGATTTTGTAATTGTTGTTTTAACATTTATGTAGATCTACATGAATGACATGATATTTAACATTTTATGGACCACATGCACAAAATATATACACAAACGCGCACGTCCACCGCGCCTAACGTAGGTGAGCTAGGCGCGCGCGCGGCGAAAGGTACCGGGGCTAGCTAGCAACGTTGCCTATTGCCGATCTGGATATTTATTTGGTGACTTTTGGTGAGCAAAAATAAAATAAAAAATGATATGGTGAATAAAATAAAATCCAAACATAAATATATTTCTTTTTTGCTATAGATAGTATAGGTATACATTTTCCGTCAACTTTTTGGCGATTTGCGCCTATCACGACCTGGCAACACTTAACTAGCTAGCTGGCTGAAAAGTCATCTCAGCTTTGGCCATATGGGTAGATATATCGTCGGCAAGGTATGCAAGTTGTTGCATGCGCATGCATTTACGCGCATGCATGCTGTCTGAAATCCAGCGCTAGAGCGCGGCCGCGCTATCGTGAGGTATCTGCGATGCGATGATCAGTCGACTCGATCGACTCATCTCTAGCTAGCTCCTCGACTCAAGCATATACATGCGATATATGCATGCGCAGCGCATGCATCATCGCATCATTTTTTAGCGCAGCTTCACTTCAGCATATCGCCGATCATATAGCATATCAACCACTCTACATTTCAATACAATTTTTTCTAGAGTCTTAGTATGTTTGTACAAGAATATTTGAACAGCGTATTTGAAGAAAAGGTGGAAAAGATGCATATGGTAAGTATTCTGTGTTTTACTACCCTACTTGGTATGAAAGGGGAATTAAAACAATACAGGATTTGATCTATGATGGAACACGTTTCAAAGAATTTTTTGAGTTAGTATTAGAGTTTGACATACCAATTGGTGATAAAAGAAAATATTTGTCCATTAATACTAAGGCAATTCCTATATATAGATTATGGTCTAAAGATAATAGAGATCTAAATTCTCATATTCAATTTTTAAGGAATCTGTCTTTCCCCAAAAGAGATCGGATAAATGGAATGATATTTTCAATATAGAAAAGGATAATGAGGATTGGTCTTTGGTTCATAAGGTAAATTTTAAATGCACCATTGAAACGCAGTTGCGTTCCTTTTATTTTAAATCATTTCACAGAGCTATTGCCACAAATGATTTTTTATATAAGATAAAAAGGTCTGACACTGAACTATGCAATCTGTGTGAGCGATTACCAGACTCAATTGAACATTTTTTAATATATTGTGAAGTTGTAAGGCCACTTTGGACTGCCCTAGAAAATTATCTATCTTTAAAACTTAAAAAAGAAGTTATTTTCTCGGATTTTGAAAGAATGTTTGGTTGTCCCAAGGACTATCAAAATTCGATATGTATAAATTTCTTTCTTTTGTGTACCAGGTTCTACATTCACTGCTGCAAATTTAAGAAAGAGAAGCCAAATTTCCATGGTCTTATATCTTTGATAAAAATTAAGTCTAAATCTGAATATGTAATTGCAGCCAAATATGGCAAGTTAAGCCTCCATTTTACTGGACTATATGATGTTTTTGTCATTTCACATTCCTGTACATGATTGTAATTAGCCAGTTGGCTTTTATGTTATTTTTGAGTACCCAATAAAAAAAAAATTAAAAAAAAAATTAAAAAAAAAAAAAAATATCAAATATCAAATATAAGGAGGCGGGCGGAAAAAAGGAAGCGGGCGGGGACGATCAACATGAAATCAATTTTACATGGCCTTATATGTTTCTCAAAGTAACTTGATGTATTCCAGAACAAAAGAATACATTAGAAATAAAATAATAGATATAATAAGAAATAAAAACAATAAAATACAAAAGAAAATAAATATTTGAAAA